TTTCAATCATATTGTTGCCAATCATTTTGAAATATTCAACTCGTTGGAAAAAAACCATTTCTGTCTCATCCATTCCGTTTATAAGTACAGTTTTTTTTTGTCAATAATCAAGATTTGATTTCAACTGAATTTAAAATTAAAATGATTAGTTTTATCTTGATTTTTTAAACAAATCTGTTGGAATTTTTGGTTATTTTCGAAAAGCTCAACAAATATTCAGGATAGTCCCATATAGAAAAAAATGACAGGAAAAATATGCAAAAATTTTGGAAGGACAGAAAAAATACATAGTAGCCGAACGCTATCATCGATTAAGAAAAAATGGAAATTCTCTCAAAAAACAGTGAAAAAAATCACTAAAAAATTGACGAAAATAAAAGTGAAGAATGGCATAAAATTGGTTAAAATTGAGGTAAATATGAAAAAACCAAATTTGCCGCCTCAACGGTTCGATGTAAAAAAAGGAAATTTTAAATTGAAAAAAATATTACTGTTTTAAAAACTTCACATTATTTTTGAAAATTTCGATGCAGCATTCTTCTTCCATTTTCCTAATTTCGATTTCCCTGAAAATTGTTTCCTCATTTTTTTTTTCAAAATTTTTGATGCATGATTGTTGAACCATTTGACAAAAGTATTAATTTCCAAAACATTGTTCTAATTTTACATATAAAATTATTGCAAATGGGCTCCAAAATTATTTTAAAAATCACTGAAAAAATTGCTGAAAACTACGAAGAATGACAATAAAATATAATATAAAATATCAAAAACACCAATGTTGCCGGCTTGCGGATTTTTCATCATAATTGAGATGAAAAATGAAGTTGTAAAATTTCGGGGGACAGTTCGGGGGACGAAATCGCGCCGCGCTTATGTAGACCATCGGTCGTCAGGCGCCTTCGCGCCCCCGTAGCTCAGCCGGTAGCGGCGCTGTACCCCTTAGCTGCCTGTCATGAGTTCAACCCCTCATGGGGGTTCTCTATGCAAAATGTAAGGAAAAAAATTTTTTTTTTGGTGTCTGGCCTCCTTTAATGCAGCATTCTGCTCCAAATTCGTGCTTTTTTAAATATCCAGAACATGTTCTATTTTTGCTTATTTTTTAAAAGATTATCTCAGTTTTGTCATTTTTAATCAAAAATTAAGACGCATTCTCTGGCAACACCTAAAATAGTGCATAAAATGTTATCAATTAAATTGCTCTGTTTCTTACAAATTGTTACCCAATTTCCAATATCTCAAAAAGGACATCACGAACTTCCAAAAATATAAATTTTGTACTGGAAAAGTTTCCAAAAAATTTCAAAAATATATTTTTTTTTTCAATTTCAATTCATATCATCCCAATCAGTAACTAACTTGCCTAAATTGGATATTTTGAGATATTATTTTTTCGGTTCCAAGTTTTCTGTTTATTTAGAACCGGTTCAAGTAGTCACGGGAACGTAGATTTTAAAACGATCAAAAGGCGTTCAGAATTTCTTTTTGTTTTCAGAAATTTTTGTCAAATTTCAATTTCTCTGTTTCCCAATTTCAATTTCTCAAACAATTTTCTGCATTTTAATTCGTCGAGCTTTTTATTTGCAAAACAGTGTCCCCCAAAATTCAGAATGTCCCCCTAACGCCTTCTTCTTCTATATTTGTTTTCTTCACCAAAATTCAGAATCACCGAATTTTAGTACCGTTTAAAATGCCGACGACGGTCGTCAAGGAGTGTTCTGATAGGCGAGAGATAATGAGAAATCGAGAGAGCGCAGACAAATGTTATGGTTATCGTTTTGCGCGAAAGTGGTGAGATGGGACTAGTGACCAATAAAATAGGGATGATTTTGGAATCTTTAGAAAAGAGAGAGAGAGAGAGAGAGAGAGAGAGAGAACCAGAGAGAGAACCAGAGAAAAATGTGGTTGTAACCTAATGAGATCGAACATCCAAACAGGCGATCGTAAAATTTAGGTTGCCTGTGGAATCTCCGCCCACTTCTTTTTACTGTTTCAACAATTTTGTATTTGTTTGGTTGATCTTTATCGAAGTTGCCATTTTTCGATTTAATCTGTTTCCCCGAAATTTTTGCAGTTTTAAAATGTTTCTATATTTTCCAAGTTTTTGAAGGTTTTAGAAAATATCATTTTATTCAATACGGAAAGTTAGGTTTTTGGGAAGCTCCGCCCACTTTTTCCTACTGTTTCATCAATTTTGTATTAAGGAAATTTTCGTTAGTTTCGTTGATCGTGATATCGAGTATGCTGCTTTTATAACTTTTCCCGAAACTTCTGGAATTTTCCATATTTGCTAAATTTTCAAGGTTTTAGGAATATCGACTATTTCATTCGATACAAATCAGAAAATTTAGCTTTTGAAGCTCCGCCCCCTATTCTTTACTGTTTCACAAATTTTGTATCTGTTGTAGGATTTTTAGGGTGATCAGTAAGCGAATTGATTGAAATATTTTGTAATTTTAGTTCTTTTTAGAATCTCGCAAGAAACGTTGGTAAAAGTTAAACATATGAATTTTCGAAGCAATTTTTAAAAAAATGATATCGGAACTTTACAATGTTTTCGGAGTTTTTGAGTTTTTTTTATCTGTTTTTATATATTTTTTTTCTGTTTCGGCAGTTTAGTATTATTTAGAATCATCATGTAGCAATACTGACTCCCAAACCTAACACTCTAAAAATTAGCTTTTTTCAAAATTTCCAATTATTGGAATTTGGAAAAATCGTTCATGAACATTTTGGTGGGAGATCTCATTCTGAAAAAGTGAAAAAAATCACAGTATCTTTTTTGTCAAAAATTTCAGAGTTTTTAGATTTTCGGTCTAGAAATTGCAATAATTCTGAATTTCAGAATTTTTAAATTTCGGAAATTTTCAAGATTTAATATTTCAAAAAAAACTTCCGTTTCAAAATTTCCAAAATTTCCCCATAATTGTCAAAGCATTAATAGTCGTCTCTCGATTTATTCCGAAAATTCATATGTGTAACTTTTACCAAATTTTTTGCGAGATTCTAAAAAGAACTGAAAATTACTAAAAGAAAAATTTTATTTATCAAAATCCAAAGATCATTTATCAATTCGTGATCACCCTGAAAACTCTACAACAGATACAAAATTTGTGAAACAGTAAAGAATAGGGGGCGGAGCTTCAAAAGCTAAATTTTCTGATTTGTATCGAATGAAATTGTCTATATTCCTAAAACCTTGAAAATTTAGCAAATATGGAAAATTCCAGAAAAGTTATAAAAACAGCATACTCGATATCACGATCAACAAAACTAACGAAAATTTCCTTAATACAAAATTGTCGAAACAGTAGAAAAAAGTGGGCGGAGCTTCCCAAAAATGTTAATTTTCCTTATTGAATAAAATGGTATTTTCTAAAACCTTCAAGAACTTGTTCGGAAAATTGGGAAAAGAAGTGAAATGAAAACTATTTTAGCCAGTTCTGAAAATGTTTCCAAACTTTCCAATTTTTTTTTGAAAACTTTCTGTTTCAATTTTTTCATAATCTTTCCGTAATTTTTTTAAAAGGAGTACTATCATATAAGTGTTGTTTTACAAAATTGTCTGATTTTTGGGAAAATTTCGATGTAACTTTTTTTTGTTTTTACAAATTTCTCTGTTCCACAATTCCCATTTTCAATGACACAACTTTCATTCGAGGTCATCACTATATTCCGATCGGTGAGATGATTGGTTTTCCGTGGTCTTCCCGGAGATTTTCGAATGACAACGCCTTGTCGCAGCTGAAACAAGAATTTTACAATAAATAAACATGATTCCCTAACCTGATATCTCTTATAAATCCTAGTAATGGATGATTTTGCAAGGTTGAATTGAAGAGCCAGATCCTTGCGTTTCAGACCCATCTGGATGCCCTGAACGACCGCTTCTTGGACCGCCAAAGTAGACGTTTTGTTGTTATGTTTTCTACCCATCTATAGGAACAAAACTCATTACAAACAAACCGAAAAAAAATTGAAAAAAAAACAAAAAAAGTGAAAACTCTGAAAAACTGAAAAATTCGAAAATATGATTTTTTTAGCAATTGCGCGTCTGATATGGTGTCTGCGGACTTGATATTTTTTCTGGAATATTTCTGAGCCTTTCAAAAACATACATACAAAATTTCAGAGTCCTAGCTCTCATAGTTTTTGAGATACTCTCGAAAAACTAAAAGTTGATTTCTTTTTGTCCGGTACTGTACGCTAGCCATCAGTGTTGGGAGAAAATGCATTTTTCCGGAATATGGAAAACGGAAACGGAAAACGGAAATTTCTATTTTTCGTCTATTTTTCAGGATTTTTTCTTTCAAACATAAAAATATACACTTTTTAACGTTTAAAGACCATATTTGCATCACTTTTCATGCTTTTTTTCAAGACAGTTTCAGTTTGTTGTTTTCGTTGTTTTTACATTTTTTTTCCGTTTCCGCTGTAAAAAATGGCGGTTTTTATGGAAAACGGAAACGGAAACGGAAATTCCTTCCATCACTGCTAGCCATGCTTTTTTTCAATTTCAGAGCTTAGATTATTTTTTCAGTCATAAAATTGACAAAATTTCAAATTTACCAACTTTTGGAATATCGAAAATTTTCCAAGATTTTCAGATTTTCGAAAAATTCCAGTTTCAATTTTTTCAAAAATTTCATTGAACTGTTTCGTGTTCCCTATTTTTGAGAAAAAAAAGTTGTTTTTGATTCAAAACTTTTAATATAAAATACCGACTTTCAACTATCAAAATTAAAAATGATAAATAACGAATAAATCGGATTTTTAATTTCTGGTAAAAATTTGCTATTTCAAATTCTCTGTTTCTTCCGTTAAACTTTCTGTTAACATTCCAGAATTTGTTGAATTCCCAAATCTGAAAACCTCAAATAATGATATACCGTTTCCCAAAACAATTATCTGTTAACTTCCGCTCATAATTCGTCTTTCACACTTCAATATATAAAATTTTAAATTTTCAGCCGACCACTCTGGACTACAGAAACTACAAAATGCATATCTCCTCACTCTTCGTGGACCCATTCGCTCCACTTCTGGAGTATCCAACGGAGCAACGTGCCAAAAATGTGGCGCATGCTCCAAAAAGACCATGTAATTTGACTCAAGCTGAGAAAATGGTATGTTTTAGAACAGCTACGTTTTAGAACCGCGACATTTTGGAACAGTGTCTTTTCAGAAGCGCGGTGTTTCAGAAACATGTCATTTCAGATCCGCGACATTTCAGAACCGCGACCTTTTAGACCCGTGACGTTTCAGAACTGACCATTTTGGAACTGTTGCGAAATGATTGTTTTTAGAACATTTGGTTACAGAACTGTCTGAAAAACTAGTAGAACAGTGAAAAACCAGAAAAACCCAACCGTGTAGTCCTCGTGGACATATCTCGGTTCCTATAAAAGATATCTAAAATTAGTCAATTGATAAAAAGTCAATTGATATAAAAAGATATTTTAGGTCAAAGTTAGGTCCGTCTTCCCTTATAGAAGCAAGGGATATAGTATATTTAAGGCTAATTATCTCGGTTCCTGTAAAAGATAATTAAGTTTAGTCAACTGAAAAAATGTTTATTTTAACATGATAAATATTTTATCAGTTGACAAATTTTTGTTAACTTTCATAAAACCCGAGATATTTGAGGTCAAAGTGACCATTCTACGCTCAGCAACTCGTAACGTACCGTATCTTTGAAGCTGATTATCTTGGTTTCCTGCAAAGACTTTTAAAATTAATCAACTGATAAAATATAGCTGATAGGATGACAAATATTTTATTAGTTGACAATTTTTTGAAATCTCTAACCCCAACCTCCAAACTTCAGCTCGCCGTCCGCAATGCTCTTCGCTACATTCCAAAAGAGCACCACGCCCTTTTGTCCCAAGAATTCGCTGAAGAACTATCAACTTTTGGTCATATCTATGCGTTTCGTTTCATGCCAAATTTCGATTTATTCGCACCTCCCGTCTCGGAAATTGGCGCCAAATGTGAGAAGGCATCAGCGATTATTCTGATGATTCTGAATAATTTGGACAAGCGGGTTGCTCAGTTTCCACAGGAGTTGGTTACTTATGGAGGAAATGGTCAGGTTTTCAGGTATTTCAGTTTTGGGATTTTTGGGATTCTTGAAATAAAATTTCAAATTTCAGCAACTGGATCCAATTCCGGCTGGTCCTCCGCTATCTCTACAGTATGACGGACCACCAAACTCTGGTACTGTACTCTGGACACCCCTTGGGACTATTCCCATCCACTCCGGACTCTCCCAGAATGACAGTAACCAATGGAATGGTTAGTTAGCAATGGAGCGAATTTGCAAAAATCAAAAAATGTGAAAAATACACTTTTCAGATGATTCCAAGCTACAGTACTAAGGAGTTGTATGACAAGTATTTTGCCTTAGGGGTGACTCAATACGGTCAAATGACCGCTGGAAGCTTTTGCTATATTGGACCACAGGGAATTGTTCATGGGACTACGGTAAGTTGGGAAAGTTTAGCTCTTTTTTTGTTTAGTTTACTCTGAAATTTTCAGACAAATCTTAAAATGTTGAAATACTTTTTTAGGGCAGTCAAAGTTGCCGATTTTCAACTCTTATCCCCCAAACCGTCAACTTTGAGCCCGTATATCTTATTTCGTGTAGAAGATATCAAAAAGTAATCAACTGATAAAATGTTTATCATATTATCAGAAACATTTTACTAGTTAATTACTTTTTGATATATCTTACAGGAACCAAGATATACAGGCTCAAAGTAAAAGGTGGTCCTTCTATGAAAGTTTTCTGGATGATTCTATTAGGACTCCCTATGGAAAAAATGCCAAAAAAATTAAACCTTCTTGAGTAAAATTTTTTCGCGATTTCAGATTTCCCATTTCCAGATCACTGTCCTAAACGCCGGCCGTCGTATGGGTCTAGACTCCCTCGCCGGAAAAGTGTTCGTCACCGCAGGGCTCGGCGGAATGAGTGGTGCTCAACCGAAGGCCGCCAAAATCGCTGGATGCATTGGAGTGATTGCTGAGATCAGTGAAACGGCGCTTTTGAAAAGACACCAACAAGGATGGTTGGACGTTTATTCGAGAGATTTGGAGGAAATTGTTAGGTGGATTAAGGAGTATCGAGAGAAGAAAGAAGCGATTAGTATTGGATACTTGGGGAATGTTGTGGATTTGTGGTGAGTTGAAGTTGCCGACTAAGAAAATGTTGGAAATATTATGACAAACATTTTATTAGTTAAACTTTTTTGATATCTAGCATGGGAACTGAGATGATTAGTGTTAAAGGCGCGTTGTGCTAAGAAGGAAGTAGGTCAACTTTGAGCTAGCTTATCTCCGCTCTTGTAGGAGATATCAAAAAGTTGTCTACTAAAAAAATGAAGGGCATCTTATACTAAACTTTTTCTTAGTTAACAAATTTTCGATATCTTTCATAAGAATTGAGATAATCAGTGTAAAATTTGATAAATCCAATTTTCAGCATTATCGCTAATTTCGAATTTTAAAATTTTTTAAAGGTGGGGGGACCTGAAAAAAATAATGTTCCCGAAATTCCGTTTAAATATGCCCCTCGAGGAGTTGAACTTGTCGAGGCGAGTATTGAAGGTGCGGCGCCGCTACCGACTGAGCCATGCGGGCGAAACTAAAGCGGGCGCCCGATTGCATACATAAAGGCGAGGACGACCGCTGTACGCAGAGTGACATTAAGCGTTGTACACCGTTACGGTAGAATGCATACTCTGGCCCCAAAAATCCCCCGTAAAATCTCCTGTCCCCCACCTTTAATAAAACTTTCCGGTTTCAAAGATTTGACATTTATTACTCTCAAAATTTCTACACCAGTCCCACTGACACGAAAAAATAAAAAAAAAGCAATACTTTTCCCCTTTTGAGCTCAAATATCTCATTTTCTGTAACAGCTGGAATTTCGTGATTTTACCTAAAAATTGAAATTTTCGGAAAAACAATTTTTTTGGGTTTCAAAATTTTGTGAAATCTATCAAATTTTGATAACGATATTGAAAGACCAAGTGACAGAAAAATCTAGAAATTGGAAGAATTTCGAAAACAATTGTTTCGGTTTCGAGAATTTCACAAAAACTTTGAGTAATCACTGATTTACCATAGATTTCAGAGCGTTTTTTTTCATAAATTTTCTGGTCCAAGCCCACAACCATTTTATTTTTTCAAAAATTGAAAAAAAACTACTTTTTCGGTTTTTTTTGAGCTCAATTATCTCGTTTCCCACGAGAGATATCGAAAAATTGTCAACTGTTAAAATATTGGAAATTTTATAACAAACATTTTATTGGTTAACAAATTTTCGATATGGGAAATGGGAAATGAGATAACTGAGCTCAAAGTGCAAGATACTATTGTTTTTTGAAGTTTGGGAAAATAAAAATGAGTTAAATTCTTATCAAAAAATTGAAAATTCTTTTTGAAATTTTTTTTTCACTTTTTAAGAAGTTATCAATCAAAAGTGATTCAAAACTTCGATAGCAATGAATTTCAAAGTTTTGAAATAAAAAATTTTTCTAATATTCTAGATTTTTGGTAATTTTCCTCTATTTCAAAGATTGTTCAATTCTAAAGTTCAAAACATTGAAAATTTCAAAATCTTTCGAAATTTTGCCAAGATTTATTAACTTCACCAATTTGTTTTTAAAATTAATATGTTTATCAAAAATTTGAAGCCGAAAAAAATCTCAAAATCTTCAATTTTTGGGTCCGTTTAGAAAATTGAAGGCGGTAGTGGGTAGGCTTACTTTGAGCTAGCTTATCTCGGTTCCTGTAAAAGATAACAAAATATTGTAAACTACAAAAATGTTTATCATAAAATTTCCTACATTTTATCAGTTGACATTTTTTTTTGTTATCTTTTATAGGAAGCAAAGTAATTAGTGTTGAAGAGTCAATATATTGTAATTTTGGTAATTTTGAATATTCTTCTAATTTGAATATTTTGAATAATTAAAACAGTTGTAATTTACTAAACTGACCCGAAAAATTTAAATTTTCGAAAACAATTTTTTTGGGTTTCAAACATTTTGTATAAATTTTATCAGAATTTGATAACGTAATGGGTTCAAATAAAACCTTGGAAAATTTGAAAAATTGGAACTTTTTGAACTTTAGAATTGAACAAAAAACTTTAAAGTGACTAGAATTTTGGAAAGTTTGGAAATCGAAATAAACATGTTGGCATCGAAACTTTTTATAGTTTTGAAAAATCCAATTTTCAGCATTTTTGCAAATTTCGAAAATTTTAATTTTTAAAAGTTTTTCGGTTTCAGTGTTTCGATATTTATCACTATCAAAATTTATAATGTTTCGACGTTCTTGCACGTTTCCCCAAAATTAAAAATCACAAATTTTTAACATTTTGAGCTGAAGTATCATATTTTCTGTAACAGCTTGAATTTCGTAATCTGACCCAAAATTGAAATTTTCGGAAAAAAATTTTTAGGTTTCAAAATTTAGATAAATCAAAATTTAGATAAAAATCAAGTTTTGATAACGCTATTAAAATAAGTGATCAAGTTGGAAAAACGATCAACTTTAAAATTTTTCAAAATTTGGAATCGACTAAAATGTCCAAAAAATCTAGAAATCGGAATAATTTCGAAAAACAATTTTCGGTTTCAATATTTTGATATATGCAAAAACTTTGAATAATCACCGATTTATAGATAGCTTTTTTCAAAAATTTTCTTGCTCAAGCACCAAAAATGAAAAAAGACCGATTTTTTTGTTGTTTTTTTGAGATATCAAAAAATAATCAACTGATAAAATATGGGAAATTTTATGCCAAGCATTTTATCACTTGACAAATTTTTTGATATCTCCCACAGGAAACGAAATATAAGAGCTTAGATTAGGCTTAAAGGAAGCTTAAAGGCGCGTGCTGGTATGTCAAATTCAAGCTCATTTATCTTCATTCCTATCAGAGATTTTAAGAATTGGTAAACTATAAGAATATTCAGCATAATATCTTCAATATTTTATCAGTTAACAAATTTTTGGTATGTATCATGCGAACTGAGATAATTGATCTTGAAGGAAGTGTGCTTCAAACAAGCTTCAAACAAGCTTCAAACAAGCTTTGGACAAGCTTAGAGAAAGTTTAAGGGAAACTACCGTAAGCCAAAAATTCCGTTTCTTTAACCCCTAAACTTAAAAAAAATTCCAGGGAACGTCTCGCTGAAGAGCCCGAATGCCTTGTAGAGCTAGGAAGTGACCAAACCTCTCTCCACAACCCCTTCCTTGGCGGCTTCTACCCTGCCGGTCTCACCTTCGACGAATCCAACGAAATGATGACATCGGACCCCGCGAAATTCAAAATCCTAGTTCAAAAATCGTTGATCCGACAGATCAACGCCATCGACAAAATCGCTGCCAAAGGAATGTACTTTTGGGATTACGGTAACGCATTCCTTCTGGAGTGTCATCGCGCTGGAGCGAACTTGCTGAGGGAGGATGCGCAGGATGACAAGTCGTTTAGATATCCCAGCTATATGCAGGATATTATGGGGTGAGTTAGGAAAAAAAAATTTTTGAATTAAAACATTTTTAAAGGGACATCTTCTCCATGGGCTTCGGACCATTCCGTTGGGTTTGTACTTCTGGAAAGGCTGACGATTTGAGATTGACCGATCAGACAGCATGCCGGATTATTGATGAGTTGAAGGAGTCGAATGGTAGGTGGCCTAACTTTTACAGGTTGGGGTTTCTAGGCCAGCAAAAACTTTTGAAGTTTAAAAGCTGGAATTTACTGTTTCAAAATTGATTGAAAATTTTTAAAATTTGAAAAATCCCACTTTTCGGATTATTTTCTAATTTTCTAATTTTCGGAATTTCACATTTTCAGAATTTCTGAATTTTTGAATTTTTGAATTTTTGAATTCCAGAATTTCTGAATTTCTGAGACTCTGAGATTCTGAGATTCTGAATTTCTCAAGTTTTTAAAATCCAAAATTCTGAAAATTTGAAATTCGTAAATTCCCAAAATCGAAATTCGCAATTTTCACATTCCTCTAAGTTTGGGCTCAATTATCTCAATTCCTATGAGAGATATCAAAAATGTGTCAATTGATAAAATGTTGCTGATAATATGATAAACATTCTATCAGTTGACAACTTTTTGGTAGCTTTCATAGGAACCGAGATAAACTGGCTCAAAGTTGACCTACCGCAGAACCACAACCTCTTTCCTCTGTTTTTCCTTCAAAATCCAATAAATCAATACATATTTTTTATCTGGGACTAAAACCATATCTCCAGGCCGTCTAGGAGCCGAGATATAGCGCTTTGAAGTTTAGGAGGTTAGAGACGCAGTGTGTCTCGTCGTCTGGCGTCTCTAGCCTCCTAATACTTCAAATCGTTGTATCTCGGTTCCTAGACAAGTTAGAGAAGTGATTTTTGAACAGAATTTTTAGAATTTTTTAAAAGAAAACTTCTTATACTGTAAGCAAACTGATTACAGTACCCGACTACGTTAAACAACAATATCTGGACAACAAAAAATGGATAGAGGAAGCTGAAAAAAACGAGCTGGTCGTTGGCTCCCAAGCTAGAATACTGTACTCCGATCGTGCTGGACGTGTAGCTCTGGCTGCCGCATTCAACGATTTGGTCAAAACTGGAAGGGTCTCCGCACCAATTGTGATCTCTCGGGACCATCATGATGTGTCTGGAACCGATTCTCCGTTCCGTGAAACTTCGAATGTTTATGATGGAAGCGCGTTTACGGCGGATATGGCTGTGCAGAATTGTATTGGTAGGTTGGAAGAGGATGGAAGAGTAAATTCTAGGCCATATAAGTCATTTTGTCATGATGGCCTAACTTTCGCAAGTTGAGTTTTCTAGGCCACCAAGTTTTATGGCATAGAAATTATTGAACATTCATCTGCTGTGTTTTCTAGGTCATTTTAACGTGGTGGCCTAGAAAACTCAACATTCAAAAGTTAGGCCACCATTTTAAAATTGCCTAGAAACCACATCAGATGAATATGAGATCATTTCTAGGTCATAAAAGTTAGCGGCTTAAAAAATCATGTTGGGAAAGTTAGGTCACTCTAATCCTTACAGTAAAAACAGTTGTCAACTTTAAGCCCATATATCACATTTCCCGTAAAAATATCAAAAAGTGATCCACTGATAAAATGTTTATCATATTATCAGCAACATTTCATCAATTGACAACTTTTCAATATCTCTTACAGTAACCGATATAAATTACTATTCCTCCAGGAGACTCATTCCGTGGCGCCACCTGGGTAGCGCTGCACAATGGAGGTGGTGTTGGATGGGGAGACGTCATCAATGGAGGCTTTGGACTGGTTCTAGATGGCTCCTTAGACGCTGCTCGTCGAGCCGAGGGAATGCTAAATTGGGATGTGCCAAATGGAGTGGCTCGTCGCTCTTGGAGCGGAAATTCGAAGGCTCAAGAAGCCATTCGTCGTGCTCAGCAACAGGTTGATGGAATGACCGTAACCTTGCCTGTGGAGGCGGATGAGGAGATTTTGAGAACTTTGAAGTTTTAAAGATTACTGTATTTTGGTCTGTAGTCCTTTTTTTTAAATTTTTATTGTAATCCCATTCTTAATTGATTTCCAAAGCATATCGTTCTTGTACATATATCCTTTGTATCCCTTTTTCCACTTAAAACTCAATTATCTCAATTTCTATGAAAGATATCAAAAAGTGCTCAACTGATAAAAGATTGTTCATAAAATGATTAATACTTTATCAGTTGACACATTTTTGATATCTGTTATACGAAGCGAGAAAATGGTGCTCAAAGTGCAAGAATAGATTAAAAACATTTTTTTGGAGAATAAAATGGTTGTGGGTATGAATCTGACGAATTTTTAAAAAATTTTACGACCCCGAACAATTGGTTTATCAAAAAATCTGTCTGAAATTCGATATAAATATCGAAAATCTGAAACTCAAAAAAAATTTGTTTTCGAAAATTTCAATTTTTCAACTTTCTAAATTTAGGGTCGTTATAGTCAATTTCAAAGTTAGTTGAATTCCAAAATTTTCAAATTGGAATTTTCAAATTTTAAAACAATTTTCGTGTGTTATGAAATTCTGATAAAAATTATTTAAAAATTTTGAAACGATTTTTTTTCTGGAAATTTCAGTTTTCAGATTCTGGATCAGTTCAGCTCATTCTAAAATTCTAAAAATTGAGTTTTTGAACTTTTTTTTCCAAATTTACAATTAAAAAAAAATTTTAATCAATCGTACAAATCATTCGAATTGTTGATAGCGATAAATATGAAATCTTTGAAACCGAAACATTTTTAGTTTAGGAATAATTCTCAAAGTTTCTTGATTTTTGGCAATTTTAGTCAGTGTCAAAATTATTTCAAATTTAAAGTTGATAATTGAAAGTTTCAATGATTAAAAAAAAAATTACGTATCAACTGTTCACTTTCGTTATCAAATAAAGTTTCTCAAAATTTTGCAACCGAAATTTTTTTCCTAATTTTCAATGAATTTTTATAACTTTTTCAATATTTTCGAAATTTTTTTCAATTCTAAAACTCAAAAATTAAAAGATTTTATAATTACCTTCGAACCAATTTTTTTTTCAAATTCTGATGAAATTTATATAAAATTTTGAAGCCGAATTTGGTTGAAAAATTAGAGACTTTTAGAAATTTCAAAACTTTTCCACTTTCAATTTTTTTTGAATGTTCCAGTTTCAAAATTTCTATTTTTGGATTCACCCATTTTCAGATCGTTTTTAAAATGTTTAGTTACAAAATTCTCACAAAAAAAAATTTTCAGTGGTGGTGGGGGTTTTCAGACAATAAAAAATAACACGAAAATAATTGTTGAATTTCCAGCGTTTTCTAAAAAATGTGAACTTTCCAAAAAACTCGAAATTCCAGGGTTCTAGAATCCAAATTTTCTGAAAATTCCAGATTTTTCTGGAGCCAAAAAGACACTTTCAAACAAATAAAAATACGAGAAAAGAAGCACTAACAAGTAAGACAGAGAGAGAGAGATGGAGAGATTACTAACAGAGAACAACGTAGAAATTTTGGGGACAACAGGGGGGTGGGCGGAGTCAAATAGAAGTGGAAAAACAATAAACAAATAAGGGGGAAATAGGCCAAAAATTGGTCAAAATAGGTCAAATTAAGAGAAAAATGAACCAAAAATTTAGTAATCATCTCCACGAGAGACGACCTCCTTCACCGTTGGACGCATCAGAATGGTGTGCTCCCACTGGGCGGTGTAGCATCCTTTGACGTCACAAAGTGGTGGGTATGGATCGACGATTCCCTGGAACATTAGAGATTAAGCGATTTCAAAAATATATCGAAACGGTGGCCTAACTTTCTCAACATGATTTTTCTAGGCCACCATGGTGAATGGCCTTAGAAATGATCTGATATTCACGTAATGTATTTTCTAGGCCATTCAAACAATGGTGGCCTAGAAAACGCAAGTTGAGAAAGTTAGGCCATCAAGCTGAAATGACCTAGAAACGGACTGATATTCTTTTTTTTGTGTTCTAGGTCATTCTAACATGGTGGCCTAACTTTTGCAAGTTGAGTTTTCTAGGCCACCATGGTAAATGGCCTTAGAAAACGTAACATGTGCATATCTGACCATTTCTAGGCCAAAAAGTTGGTGGCCTAGAAAAAACAACTTGCAAAAGTTAAGCCACCAAGGGGGAAATGGCCTAGAAATAACCTGATTTTCACCGGGTATTTTTTCTAGGCCATTCTGACTTGGTGGCCTAACTTTTGCAAGTCGAGTTTTCTAGGCCACGATGGTAATTGACCTAGAAAACACACCAGGTTAACGTTAGACCATTTTTAGGCTATTTTTAAATGGTGGCCTAACTTTTGCAAGTTGAGTTTTCTAGGCCACCATGGTAAATATCTCAAAAATGACCGGAATGAAAATCACGCCATTTTTTGGTCATTTTCAGCCTATGATTTTGCGATTTTCATCTGAAAATTGGCGACAAAATTCAGTCAAATCTGAAATTTCAGCCAAAATGTGATTTTCAGCCGTTTTCGCTTATTTTCAGTTCATTTTTCGTCCCGTCGAGGGGCCAATTTTCCATACCTTATCACACAAATCCTTCAACGCCATCAAGTACTTGGTCTCTCCAAGACGATCAATCCAACGACGACAGAACGCGAGTGTACTGAAATTCTTATCAATCAACGAGAGCAGTCCCTTCGACTTCTGAAGTCTCAACGGAATTTTCTCATCAGCCAACTCAAAATTCTTCATGTAATGCGACGTCTCCATATCGTCATGAACGTATCCTTTTCCGGTGGATCCGAATGTCTCAATGGCGTAAATCTCGTTCTCCTCCATCTTCGTCTGTTCGCCTCCTTTGACAATTGGCACCGTTTTGCCAGCGTGGATACGGTATTGAGCGATCGAGTGGCCGTTGAGATTGCGGATTGGTTTGACGACGTACGTCTTTCCTTCCAGCTCCACCTCGTGCGACGTCATCACCTCCTCGACAACTTCTCCGACGTCACAGAGACGAACGTCGATGCCAGACTCGCGGATTCCGGCGTTTGTGGCTTCTTTGACTGCTTCGACGAGGGGGTCGAATTTCGGGTCGAAGTGCACGGTGAAGGCGGAGTCGATGAGACGTCCGCGCACGTGGATTCCGTAGTCGATCTGTAATTAGAGGTAATTAGGAGCAATTAAAGAGGGGTTTTGGACTTTTCGCGGTTTCATTGGTTTTAGCATGGTGGTCTAACTTGAGTTTTCTAGGCCATCATGCTAAAATTGT